ATGCTCAGCTCATTAAGCCGCTCCTCATAGGGCTTGTTCTCCAGACCCTTGATCATTTGAGTCGCCCTCCTCTGGACACATTCCAGCTTGTCAATATCTCTCTTGAATTGTGGTGCCCAGAATTGGACACAATATTCCAGGTGTGGTCTAACCAAAGCGGAATAGAGCATGGGGAGCACGACTTCCCTGGATCTAGACACTATGCTCCTATTGATGCAGGCCAAAATCCCATTGGCTTTTTTTGCCGCCATCACATTGTTGGCTCATGTTTAACTTGTTGTCCACGAGGACTCCAAGATCTTTTTCACACGTACTGCTCTCGAGCCAGGCATTGTCCCCCATTCTGTATCTTTGCATTTCGTTTTTCCTGCCTAAGTGGAGTATCTTGCATTTGTCCCTCTTGAACTTCCTTGTGTTAGTTTTGGCCCATCATCTCTCTAATCTGTCAAGATCCCTTTGAGTCCTGCTCCTGTCCTCTGGAGTCTTGGCTATCCCTCCCAATTTGGTCCCGTCTGCAAACTGGATGATACTTCCTTACTCGTCTTTGTGTTGTATGTCATTGCGCTGGCCTTGGCATACTCAAAATCTGTTAATCCAGGTTGTCTCCAAAGTCTGTAAATCATGCTCAACGGTTGATGGACATTTCTCTTATCCATCTTCCTGTTTATCGTTTGTGTACATACGTCTCCCCGTTTTTGTGCTTCTGTGCCTAAGCCTTTTCTTCTTCTTCTTCCTCTTCCTCTAATCAGACCTCACATAGGTGCTAATGTATTATTAAGGCTAATGGAGCTCTACAAGAAATGTTAATGGACATTAAGTTTGCATAAATGAATTACACATTTAGCGCCGCGGCGAGAAAGCGACAATCTGCCAATTTAGGTAGTATCTGATGGTGTTTGTTTTCCCATTATGGGGACATTACTTCCCCCAATACTTTCAGGGCGATATGAAAATTGTAAGCAGAATGCTCATAATGGAACAAACATAATGAAGTAGAAGAAATAAATTAACACGGGGGTGGGTTGCGGCGAGGGAGCCGCTTTGGCTAATGTTATGCTCGAGCTGCATGTACAAAAAAGCATTCTGAATCATCCGACGACCAACCAACCGGCTTCGTTTCTGCTCCTTGGTGGAAAGGAAGAGCCACAGGAGGAAGGGTTGGGTTCTGCTTAAGGACTATTCTTCCTTGCTATGGATCTGTGCTCCCAACCAAAACATGTGATCCTGCCAGCTCTATCTTTCCATGGGCATTCCTATCCTGGCATTCGAAATGCCACAATTCCAGGCAAAGAAGAGAAGAGTCAGACCCAACACAACCTTGGAGACCTCTCTTGGAACACCTCCATTGGATGTTGACCATAGGAGAATGAAAGGAAGAGCCATAGGGGGATGGGTTGGGTTCTGCTTAAGGACTATTCTTCCTTGCCATGGATTTGTGCTCCAAACCAAAACGTGATCCTGCCAGCTCTATCTTTCCATGGTCATTCCTATCCTGGCATTCAAAATGCCACAATTCCAGGCAATACAAAGCAAAGACCTGAAGAAGCAGACCCAACACAACCTCAGAGACCTCTCTTGGAAGACCTCCCTTGGATATTGACCATAGGAGAACGAAAGGAAGAGCCACAGGAGGAAGGGTTGGGTTCTGCTTAAGGACTATTCTTCCTTGCCATGGATCTGTTCTCCCAACCAAAACATGTGATCCTGCCAGCTCTATCTTTCCATGGGCATTCCTATCCTGGCATTCAAAATGCCACAATTCCAGGCAAAGAAGAGAAGAGTCAGACCCAACACAACCTCAGAGACCTCTCTTGGAACACCTCCATTGGGTGTTGACCATAGGAGAATGAAAGGAAGACCTGAAGAATCAGACCCAACGCAACCTCAGAGACCTCTCTTGGAAGACCTTCCTTGGATATTGACCATAGGAGAACGAAAGGAAGAGCCACAGGAGGAAGTGTTGGGTTCTGCCTAAGTACTATTCTTCCTTGCTATGGATCTGTGCTCCAAACCAAAACATGTGATCCTGCCAGCTCTATCTTTCCATGGGCATTCCTATCCTGGCATTCAAAATGCCACAATTCCAGGCAAAGAAGAGAAGAGTCAGACCCAACACAACCTCGGAGGCCTCTCTTGGAAGACCTCCCTTGGATATTGACCATAGGAGAACGAAAGGAAGAGCCACAGGAGGAAGGGTTGGGTTCTGCTTAAGGACTATTCTTCCTTGCCATGGATCTGTTCTCCCAACCAAAACATGTGATCCTGCCAGCTCTATCTTTCCATGGGCATTCCTATCCTGGCATTCAAAATGCCACAATTCCAGGCAAAGAAGAGAAGAGTCAGACCCAACACAACCTCGGAGGCCTCTCTTGGAAGACCTCCCTTGGATGTTGACCATAGGAGAACGAAAGGAAGAGCCACAGGAGGAAGGGTTGGGTTCTGCCTAAGTACTATTCTTCCTTGCTATGGATCTGTGCTCCAAACCAAAACATGTGATCCTGCCAGCTCTATCTTTCCATGGGCATTCCTATCCTGGCATTCAAAATGCCACAATTCCAGGCAAAGAAGAGAAGAGTCAGACCCAACACAACCTCAGAGGCCTCTCTTGGGAGACCTCCCTTGGATGTTGACCATAGGAGAACGAAAGGAAGAGCCACAGGAGGAAGGGTTGGGTTCTGCCTAAGTACTATTCTTCCTTGCTATGGATCTGTGCTCCAAACCAAAACATGTGATCCTGCCAGCTCTATCTTTCCATGGGCATTCCTATCCTGGCATTCAAAATGCCACAATTCCAGGCAAAGAAGAGAAGAGTCAGACCCAACACAACCTCGGAGACCTCTCTTGGAAGACCTCCAATGAATGTTGACCTTAGGAGAACACTAGAGATGCCTACAGAGATGTTCCCTCAGAAGTGTTTTGAATTATATTTATTGATATTTCCCTTGTTGTGAGACTCTGCTCCCCAAATCCTTGCAAATAGACTACTGCAACGCTCTCTACATGGGGCTGCCATTGAAGACTGCCCGGAAACTTCAACTAGTCCAATGTTGTGCCAGGTTGCTCACCAGAGCGACGTACAGGGAACATACAACTCCTTTGTTACACCAACTCCACTGGCTACCAATCAGCTTCCAAGCACAATTCAAAGTTCTGGCCCAGACTACCTGTCTGAACGTATCTCCTGCCACGAACTATCACGAAGTTTAAGATCTTCAGGAGAGGCCCTGCTCTCGATCCCACCACTATCAGAAACGTGGTTGATGGGGAGACAGGGCCTTCTCAGCAGTGGCCCCCCGCCTATGGAATGCCCTCCCTAGAGATATCAGATTGGCGACCTCCCTCTTGTCTTTTAGAAGGAAAATCAAGACCTGTGATGGGACCAAGCGTTGGATCAGTGAGCAGCAAGTGGAAGAAGATCACACAACTTATGGCAATGAATTGACCCGGACTGGTTTTTGGATTTCAGTTTTAATGAATGTGTCTTAATTAATTAATTCTTGTTTCAATATTTTTAATATTTTGATTGTATTGTGGTTGTTTTTATGATAATTGCATCGTATTATGCTTTTGTTAGGCCGCCCTGAGTCCATCTTTGGAGGAAGAAGGGCGGCGTATAAATATCGGAAATAAATAAATAAATAAATAAAAATGTGGAGGGACTACTATAGTTTCCTCAGTGGATAAAACACCATTCCAAATCAGTGATTCCTTCCTTGGCCTTGGAGAAAGGGTTCCAGAAGTAAGGAGATGTCCCCTGTCCTTTCTTGGGCAACTGAAGCCAAAGGAAGTCCAAAGACCACCTTCTTTCTGGATGGAATGAGGTGGTAGAAGATGGAGACATAGATTCAGGTAGATACGAAAGGGATGCCTGGATGCTGAGATGCCTGGAGCCCAGCTGAGGAGTCCAGAAGACTATGGCTCACTCTTGGACTCCTTTGGGCACCTCCATGAGTGCTTTCAATGGGATCCATTTCTTATCCATTCCATGCAATAATGAGACTCAAGAGTGGTTTGCAACATATAGTTTCAAAACTGCCCAAAAGCTTCAATAGAAATACTCCCACAATGATCAAGCAAGGTCATTCATGATGTTCCTCTTGTTCCTCTTGTATCTCTACAAGACTGTCTAGCTTACTGACAGAGTAAAACAAAACAACCATACAGCACACTTCATTAAGACTGATTTAAGGTGTGTGTGTATAGGTATGTGTTGGGTCTACCAGATAGCTCCTTGTTCCCTTTGAACCATCTGATCGTCGTGGCTGGTCTGCTGGCCATTGCGGTGCAATTCAGCTCAACCTCTTCTCCCTCCATGATGGTCTCCTTCTGGGATTCAATCCTTAAGTTGCGCGGAGGAACTGTGAGGACATACTGGTCCAAGGCTTGGTCCCATAAGGAGGTCTTTGGACTTCATTTGGCTTGAGTTGCCCAAGAAAGGACAGGGAACATCTCCATGCCACCAAGGAACCAAGAGCAGAAGCTTGCTTCCACTCTCACACAAGCTTTATTACGGTAATGTTTGGAAGCATAATGGCTAGTCAAAGGCAAACAAGTTAAGGAGAGACTATGGTGAGATTCATATTTGGGGCCTTCAGCTTCACAGTTTCTCATCTTACGCTCAATTCAATGTTTTTGGGATCAGGAAGGATATTGACATGTGCTTCAGTTACTACAGGGCGCAAACAGTGATTCTACAAGTCGTCCAAGTTTGTGGAAGCAAACATCATAAAAGCTGAGCTGCTAAGTCAACATTCCTTGAGGGAATCATCGCATGCGGTTGGTCCAAGAATTGAGAAGGTGGAACTGCGTTCTGTGGCCAATTCAATGACAAAACCAACAGAGAAAGCCTTAAAACAACACTCAACATTTTGAATCTCAGAACGAGATAGAAACCACAGGCACCGCGTGTAGCTAAAAACGCCAACCATATTGCCCAATGGACATTTTCCAGCCTTTATCAGGTGGACGGATGGAAGAGGGGAGATGATTCTGGTACTCACACATTACGTCTAGGTAGTACTTGGTCTGCAAGTCTTTGACGGCAGGGTGGTCTACCTGACAGATGACCGGGACCCCATCGTCCTCTCGCTTGACCTTCAGCGAAAGCTGGCTGGTCACTGTGAACATGTCTGACCACTGCTCCACTTCTGTTTTGCCTGCTGGAGAGAGGAACACGGGGGAGAAAGAGGGCAAGTAAGTGGCAAATGGCTGGACCAATGGTATCTGCATCCAAGGACTAGCCTACTTCACCTTCACTTGTGTGTGAGGAACACTCTACAATTGGCATAGAGGTCTACATCTTCTCCCCTGGACCCATTTAGATATTTCTTCTAGACTATTACAATATTGTATTTCATCACACAATAGTTGCACTTTTTTCCTTTCTGGGTGCGATTATTATGCAAGGAAACCCACTTTTTGTTCCAAAACAGTATTTTTGTAATAAAATGATGTTGAAAACAACTTGAGAATACCCTCACTCGCTCCTTCCAAGAACAATATTGAACAACACTGCTTGAGGGGGCGTTCTTGGAAGGGAATAGTCAATGAATGGATAAGTGAGTGAGTAAATGGAGGGTGGGTCTTTTCGCAGGCAAGTAGATCTGCGAGCAGATGGGTCTTTGGGTGGGTAGGCGAATGGATGGAGAGGCCTGCACCAGTAAATCAAGGGTGCAACTATTATGCGAGGAAAATAGAAATACTGAAACCAGGCCCATAAAACTGGGGGTGCGACTATTACATGAGGGCAACTATTACGTGATGAAACACAGCAATTTTAAAAAAATCTGATGCAACAGACTCACAAAATTGGAGGAAACCCAAAGAGACATCCAGTCCAACATCTTGCCAAGCAAGAATTCCCAATCCAAGCACTCCTGGAATGCACAGATGTTTACCCAAAATCTTATTGAATCAAATCTTTTCTGAAGGTCTTCTTCAATCAAAGTTCAGACATTTCTGGACCAGGAAGTATCAAATAATCGTCTGGACAAAATCTGAAACACGTCTAGCTTTGTTACTGACACCATACAAAGCCATACCATCATTGGAAGGGATTGTGAGAATGATCCAATCTAATCCACTGCTAAAGTCCTTCTGAGAGATGTCCATCCAACTGTCATGGAAGACCTCCAAAGAAGATGAGTTCAGTGGAATGGTCTTTCCCCTGAGGAAGTCTATTCCACTGTGGAATATTAGATCTTCCTAATATTTAGGTGGCACCTTGGGATGCATCTCCATTTTCATCTCTTTGAGTTCCTTGAATGTGGAAATGTATTCTCTGAGCCCTGGTGGCCTCATAATAGCTTTCAATGGGAATAGTCAATGAATGGATAAGTGAGTGAGTAAATGGAGGGTGGGTCTTTTCGCAGGCAAGTAGATCTGCGAGCAGATGGGTCTTTGGGTGGGTAGGCGAATGGATGGAGAGGCCTGCACCAGTAAATCAAGGGTGCAACTATTATGCGAGGAAAATAGAAATACTGAAACCAGGCCCATAAAACTGGGGGTGCGACTATTACATGAGGGCAACTATTACGTGATGAAACACAGCAATTTTAAAAAAATCTGATGCAACAGACTCACAAAATTGGAGGAAACCCAAAGAGACATCCAGTCCAACATCTTGCCAAGCAAGAATTCCCAATCCAAGCACTCCTGGAATGCACAGATGTTTACCCAAAATCTTATTGAATCAAATCTTTTCTGAAGGTCTTCTTCAATCAAAGTTCAGACATTTCTGGACCAGGAAGTATCAAATAATCGTCTGGACAAAATCTGAAACACGTCTAGCTTTGTTACTGACACCATACAAAGCCATACCATCATTGGAAGGGATTGTGAGAATGATCCAATCTAATCCACTGCTAAAGTCCTTCTGAGAGATGTCCATCCAACTGTCATGGAAGACCTCCAAAGAAGATGAGTTCAGTGGAATGGTCTTTCCCCTGAGGAAGTCTATTCCACTGTGGAATATTAGATCTTCCTAATATTTAGGTGGCACCTTGGGATGCATCTCCATTTTCATCTCTTTGAGTTCCTTGAATGTGGAAATGTATTCTCTGAGCCCTGGTGGCCTCATAATAGCTTTCAATGGGATCTTCGCCTACAGAGATCCCAACATGGATGTTGTGAGTAACTGTGTAAATGAAGGGGAAACAACCAAATCTTCTTGGTTGTGGGCAAGAGCTCCTGCCTGGAGGTCTCAAGCCAAGTGCCTGGTTTCATATTGGTTTTGTCTGGATGTGTCAAGGAAAACCAAATTGCTTTGCAATGAAGTCGCACTGGCCAAGGTCTATCTCAAGTGATGCACAGGAACAACTTGGAACTCGCACCCAACCTAATCCTAACCCCAACCCTCACCTTCCATGAAACCTACAGCGCTCAGTGGAAAGGATTAGGAATCCCAGGAAAGCTTCCAAACACTTAAGTCAATGGAGCCAGAAATCCTCCATCCTTTTCCTCCGAAGCCAGTGCCAAAAGCCATTGTCAATAATTAAGAGGGAAAGTGACTCCTTGGATTTACATAATTAAAAGCAGAGATTGAAATATTTAAATAGTGGTAGTGTCAAAGAACAGAAAACTACATGTGAGGGAGGAGAAGGTTCCTTGTGGGATCTCCTGCTACAAGGAAACTGGGGAACGAACAAGGCAGTATGGAAAACGAAGGGAGGAAAAAGAAAGGAAGGAAGGAAGGAAGGAAGGAAGGAAGGAAGGAAGGAAGGAAGGAAGGGAAGCCCAGAGTGCTAGTGGTCACCTGTAAAGCTCTATATGGCTCAGGTCATATGGGATGGGCTTTTAATGCCTTTTTCCAGGTATGCGTCTTTAAACACATTTTAATGTTTTTAACTTCATAAATAGTTTAAATTTCTAAAAACAATTTATATGTATATTTGCATTGAAGCATTTGCATAATTGTAAAATATGTTGTAAACCACTCTTGAGCCTCACCACGAGGAGGAAGTTGGGATAGAAATGGACGAGATAATAGTAATAATGCTAATGATGATAAATACATTCAAGTCCTGAAAGGAGAAGGAAGAGGAGGAGAAGGAGGAAAGGGGGAGGAGGAGGAGGATAAGAAGAGGAGGAGAAAGGAGGAGAAAAAGAAGAGAAGGAGGAAGAGAAGGACAAGGAGATGATGGTGAAGAAGAGGAGGAGGAGGGGAAGGAAGAAGAGGAGAAGGAAGAGGAGGAGAAAGAAGGAGAAAAAGAAGAGAAGGAGGAAGAGAAGGACAAGGAGAAGGAGATGATGGTGAAGAAGAGGAGGAGGAGGGGAAGGAAGAAGAGGAGAAGGAAGAGGAGAAGGAGGAAAAGGAATATAAGAAGAGGAGGAGAAAGAAGGAGAAAAAGAAGAGAAGGCGGAAGAGAAGGAAGAATAAGGAGAAGGAGATGATGGTGAAGAAGGGGAGGAGGATGAGGAGGAAGCAAAGGAGAAGGAAGAGGAGGGGAAGGAGGAGGGATGGAATGTGATGATAGAAGATGGAGACATAGATTCAGGTAGATATGAAAGGGATGTCTGGATGCTGAGATGCCTGGAGCCCAGCTGAGGAGTCCAGAAGGCCATGGCTCACTCTTGGACTCCCTTGGGCACCTCCATTAGTGTTATAACAATTATCTTATCCATTTCTTTTCCATTCCACACAATAATGAGACTCAAGAGTGGTTCACAACATATAGTTTCAAAACTGCCCAAAAGCTTCAATAGAAATACTCCCACAATGACCAAGCAAGGTCATTCATGATCCACCCCTAGATGTTCCTCTTGTATCTCTACAAGGCTGTCTAGCTTACTGACAGAGTAAAACAAAACAACCAAACAGCCATACAACACACTTAATTAAGCCTGACTTAAGGTGTGTGTGTGTGTGTGTATGGGTATATGTTGGGTCTACCAGATAGCTCCTTGCTCCCTTTGAACCATCTGATCGTCGTGGCTGGTCTGCTGGCCATTGCGGTGCAATTCAGCTCAACCTCTTCTCCCTCCATGATGGTCTCCTTCTGGGATTCAATCCTTAAGTTGCGTGGAGGAACTGTGAGGAAACACGGAGAAAACAAAGCAAGAACATCTCAGAATTCTGCAATTGGTGATGACGCCCTCCAGGCACCAGGAATCCAGATGTTGTAGCCATGTGTCTTTGCCACTGACTTTACCTAAAGATGAAAAATCTCAACTCCACATTGGCTCTCACTCTTCTCCCCTCTTTGCTATTCCATGATTAGCAAGCAATGTTTCCAGAGAGTCTCCTTTGAGGCAATCTTAGCAACAATCCTGACCTAGTAAATCACTTGTAGAGGTCTGGCATGAAGACCTGCAATTCTCCCGCTATCCTCCAAAAATGGAGGAAAGAGTGGGCAGAATGTTCAATTAATTGCCAGGCATCCCCAGTGTTAAACGAGGCTCTAAAATAAAGATGTTAACTAGCATTCGTAAAAACAAGTGGGCACCTGCTCTCTCACACATACAAATACTTTGATAATTCTGATGAAACGGTTCCATGGCTCAAGTGCTTTTTTTTTTTAAGGAGATAAACGAGTGTGTATAAAATATATTGGGTGATAAAGGGAGCTCCACAGTGCTCATAAGGACACAAAGCAGGTGGCACATTTATTTTTGATTCCGATGTGCAGAAAAGTGACACAGCATATCGAAACACAAGAAGAAAGGGATGCGGCTGCCCATGGTCTCCATCCCGAGAAAATAAGATGACAATGGAAATGAGATGGGCATAGTCCACAACCCAAAGAAATGAGATAGCTATGGAAATTAGATGGCCATGGTCTCCATCCCAAGAAAAGGAGATGATTACAGAAATACGATGGCCATGGTCTCCATCCCAAGGAAAAGAGATGGTTATCATCTCCATCACAAGGAAATGAGATAACTATGGCAATGAGATGGCCATGGCCTCCATCCTAAGGAAATGAGATGACCATAGAAATGAGATGGCTATGGAAATCACATGGCCATGGTCCCCATCCCCAGAAAATGAGATTGTCATGGTCTCCATCCTAAGGAAAGAAGATGATCACAGAAATACGATTGCCATGGTCTCCATCCGAAAGAAAAGAGATGGTTATCATCTCTATCACAAGGAAATGAGATGACTATGGAAGTGATATGGCCATGGCCTCCATCCTAAGGAAATGAGATGACCATGGAAATGAGATGGAGATAGCCCACAACCCAAAGAAATGAGATAGCTATGGAAATTACATGGCCATGGTTCCCATCCCAAGAAAATGAGATGGCCATGGTTTCCATCCTAAGGAAATGAGATGGCTATGATCTCCATCTCAAGGAAATAAGATGGCATAGTCTCCATCCCAAGGAAATGAGATGACCATGGCAATGTGATGGCCGTGGTCCCCATACCAGGGAAAAAAGATGGCTATCATCTCCATCCCAAGGAAATGAGATGGTCATGGAAATGTGATGGCCATGGTCTCCATCCCAAGGAAAAGAGATGGCTATCATATCTATTCCAAGGAAATGAGATGGCCATTGAAGTGAAATGGGCACAGTCTACATCCCAAGAAAATGAGATGGCCATAGTTTCCATTACAAGGAAATGAGATGGCCATGGTCTCCATCCTAAGGGAATGAGATGGCTATGATTTCCATCTCAAGGAAATGAGGAAGCATAGTCTCCATCCCAAGGAAATGAGACGGCCATGGAAGTGAGATGGCCATGGTTTCAATTTCTATCAAATGATGGTGCCTACGGCCTCTATCACAGGAAATGAGATGCCTTTGGCTTCCATCCCTCCAAATGAAGATATATCAGACATAATGCACTTCAAGGTTTCTCAACGCTAGGGAATGAAGTGCATTGTACCCATGCAAGCTGCCCTGTTGATTCTTCTTCCAGCTGCGACTCACTGCCAGGCAAGAGAAAGGAGCCCTAGTGCAGCCCCAGTCCAAATCTCTCCGTGGAATGGAACACCCGAGTATGAAATGTCTAGTTTGGCTACGAGAAGAAAAGCGGCGTGCGTCTACGGGGGAATCATAGCACAGCCGTGGTAGGAATCAGCTCTCAAGAGTGGAGCGAGCTGAACTTGAAATTCACACTCCAGGCTAATTTTAAATACCTTTTCAACGTATAATAACATGCTAAGAATGGAATCTCATTAAATGGTGAGATGGGAGGAAGGGAGAGAAAAGGAGAGGGGAATCCATGTCACTAATCAGCAAGTGAGATCTCACTTTGAGATTGTTGGTTGCGATTCGGGACCGGCGTCAAGGGAGACGGAGCTAAATCTGGAGACACGGCGGTTACGGCATTAGCAACTATTACGGACGGACACCTTAATGTGTTTGTTTAGGAATCTTTGGACCGCGAGCGAGAGAGAGGATCGTCCTCCCTTCTCCTGTATCTCTGGCTACATCTACATGGTAGAATTAATGCAGTTTGATACAAATTTAGCTGCTATTCCCCCTTACAACTGGCCAATGTATTCAACACACACACAATGTCCTTTGAGGGACACTTGGCTTCCAAGACATAAATGTCAAGGTTTTGGGTGAGTTGGGAATCTTTATAGACAACTTAGAGCTTGTGATGGCCTTGAAAATAAAACAATGGTTAGTTACAGGAGCTTCTTTTGGGATTTTTGCAGGTTGTCCTCCTTCTTCCTGTAATCCTCCATTTTTGAGGTCAAAGACTATAAAACCTTTGGGTTGCTGTGAGTTTTCTGGGCTGTATGGGCATGTCCCAGAAGCATTCTCTCTTTATGTTTCGTCCACATCTATAGCAGGCATTCTCAGAGGTTGTGAGGACCTCACAACCTCTGAAGATGACTGTCATAGACGGGCGAAACGTCAGGAGATGATGCTTCTGGAACACAGACAGACAGCCCAGAAAACTCACAGCAACCCAGTGAGTCCAGCCATGAAAGCCTTTGACAACACAGCAAAATCTTTGCATTGTATATCGGAGGAACATAGAATAAACGTCTAGGTCCAAATACAAAGATGACCTTAAGTGTGCAGATGCATACAAAGGGATTTTTGGAGACCACTTTTGGCAAAATGCAGCAAAAAGCAATGGTACCATTAAGATGCACGTCTAGGTGAAAGGCTAAAGGCAACAAAGCTGTATTGTCGAAGGCTTTCATGGTCGGAATCACTGGGTTGTTGTAGGTTTTTTCGGGCTATATTGCCATGTTCTAGAGGCATTTTCTCCTGACGTTTCGGTTGTGAGGACCTCACTGAGGATGCTTGCCATAGATGCAGGCGAAACGTCAGGAGAGAATGCCCCTAGACCATGGCCATATAGCCCGAAAAAACCTACAACAACCCAACTTAAAGCTATTCTAAAAATATCCTTCACTTTGTCCAACACTTTCTGCAAATGCCTTGAATATCTGCACCACTGTTTTTTTTGTGAGCTGGGCAGAAGAAATGACACCAGAACTCAAGCTTCATGTCAAGGTCAGAGCTGAAAAGAGGAATTGCTGCAAAGGCCTTCAAGAGCCTGGTTTCCCCGCTACATTTTTGTGTCTCTCCACACTCCCAAATAACCTTCTAAATAAAAAAAAAGGGCCAGTTCTTACCCAGCACAGTAATGGTCATGTAGTATTCTTGTGGAGGGTCCGTGTAGAGTTGGCAGAAGTATCTTCCTTCGTCCGAGATGGAGACGTTGGTGAGCGAGACCCTGAGCTCGCTGCTGGAGAAGTTCACTAACTGGAATCTGCTGTCCTTCAAAGCTGTGGAAGAAGGAGGAGGAGGACACCGCTGGGAAAAGTCAAACACTCAAGGCGGAGGAGGGTGCCTCCGTTTTGGAAAACACTGCAAAACGCAAAAATCTCTGGAAAGGGAGGAATGGCGCTGGAATGCAATGAATGGTTAACTCTCTTCTCCAAGTCCTTGGATTGTAAGGCTTGAATCTACCTAGGGAAACACAACTTTTTCCTCCCCTGCTGCTTGGACCCCTATTTGGCCTCATTCAATTTCTGCTTGTCAATTCAATATTTTGGCACCTGATTGTAATTCAGAGTGAACAGGTGCAATCAATGCCCGTTGTGTCGCAAGACATAAGTAAGGAAGCATTTCATTAAGGCCGGCGTTTACGACGGGCGGCCTGACGGAACCTTTCAAGTGACTGATGTCAAATGAAAAGGAAAGCACCGCAACCCCTCTCCCTCCTCGAGATTTGACCCCGACCCCCACTGAACTCACGCCTGAAGTCTCTGAAATAAATCGTCTGTCTGTTGGGATTCAAGAGCTGGATCACAGAGTCGTCGCTGTTCTTGACTCTGCAGCTGATGGTGGCCACCTCCCCTTCGACCACAGTCACGTCTTCGGTCACCAAGTTCTGTCCGTCACCTGGAAACGGGAAGAGAACAAGGCGGGTCAACCTGCATCACATCCACATAGTCAGTCCAGAGGGTAAGCCACCCAAGAACTCCAAGCAAAGGTGGGTCAACCTGCATCGAATCCACATAGTCAGTCCAGAGGGAAAGTCACCCAAGAACTCCAAGCAAACTACGTCATTTGTATCCTGCTTTTTGCCCATGAATGTGAGTCACAGCGGTATTCGATTCAATGGCGCCAAGATGATTGGCGTTTACAATGGATAAGAATATGGAACAACATGGAGGCATACTGTCGAAGGCTTTCCTGGCCTGAATCACTGGGTTGTTGTAGGTTTTTTGGACTGTATGGCCATGTTGTAGAAGCATTCTCTCCTGATGTTTTTCCTGCATCTATGGCAGGCATCCTCAGAGGTTGTGAGGTCCTCACAACCTTGAGGATGCCAGCCATGGCAGCTGGCAAAACATCATAGAATCATAGAATCAAAGAGTTGGAAGAGACCTCATGGGCCATCACCCAGTCCAACCCCATTCTGCCAAGAAGCAGGAATATTGCTTTCAAATCACCCCTGACAGATGGCCATCCAGCCTCTGTTTAAAAGCTTCCAAAGAAGGAGCCTCCACCACACTCCGGGGCAGAGAGGTCCACTGCTGAATGGCTCTCATAGTCAGGAAGTTCTTCCTCATGTTCATCAGGAGAGCATGCTTCTACAACATGGTCATATAGCCCAAAAAACCTACAACAACCCATGGAGGCATATGTTCCTGAACCTATGTGGAAATGGGAAACCATGGACCCTACTGGAATGAATATCTTCCATTAGACCAGTGGTTCTCAATCTGTGGATCTCCAGATGTTGTGGCCTTCAACTACCAGAAATCTTAACATCTGCTAAACTTGCTGCAATTTCTGGGAGTTGTAGGCTAAAACACCTGGGGATCTACAGGTTGAGAACCACTGCACTAGATGTTGTTATCACAGAGACATCCTGAAAGACCTAGACAACTCCTACAGAAGTATCCACCCCATCAAAATTGCTGTCTTCCAACAAAGGTCCATGGAAGCACACCATAGCATCACCTGGAGGACCTAGAAGATGCACAGATAGGACATATTTTGATGGATGGTTTTTGTCAGAGCTTGCAATACAGATGAAGATGAAGAGCTGCCAGGCCCAGCATCTGAGTCAGTAGCAAGCAAGGAACAACAACAGCTGCAGCCTGACACTGAGGAAGCTCAGTGCAGGACCAAGTGCCTCAGGGTCAGGAGAGCAATGAGGAAGAGTGAAGTGTCCCAGAAAGACTGCAACTGAGGACTGATGCTCTTCAGCAGCACAGATCCACCCGGCTGGCACAGAGAAGGGCCAACAGGTGAGCGTACTTGTGTTGTGAGGCTTAAAGAGTGGTAGTTTGGATTTGGTCTGTTGCTGGGAGCAACGTTTGGGACCTGCTACAATTTGGAGCTCTGTCTGGTGACCTCATGTGTATCTTTGTGTTTTGGACCTTGGCTGTCAGATACCTCAGTTCCAAGCTATGTAGCTCTGGAGAAATATCCTATGAAGGATCACACAGAGAATCCCAAGTGGAGTAGATGTCAACGTGCTGATTGTTTAGAATACAAGAGTCTCAACTACTGTCCTCCTACATAGTCCTAACTACAATGTCATAAATCACTCACTCAGGAATCTTGGTGCCTGGAGGTTGTCCCTTTCCCATTCCAGAGCCCAGTTGTCCCCCCACTTTGGGGCAATTGAGTTTTATGGCTGGTCCATTTGTCCTGCATTCTCTTTTGGCTCAATGACCCATAGCCATGTGGTTTGTATCAGTTGTATGGTATGAGCTAGAGATCATGACATGGGCTTTGGATCCTTGGATTACACTTAAACTTGGATGTTTTGGTGAGGAGCTTTGGACTGAATTATGGACTATGACTTTTGTAACACAGTAGTGTTGTTATTGTTGTTTAGGTGAAACTATGGGTACCAGTCCAACAGATATGGGGCCATATTGCATAAAAATCAAAACACAGTTTTAAAAACAAAGGAAGATAGACGATCTGAGAACCAAGTTTCAAATACCAAATACGATGAGAGACAAGTTGCCATTGAATCCTAGAATCATAGAATCAAAGAGTTGGAAGGGACCTGGTGGGCCTTCATCCAGTCCAACCCCATTCTGCCAAGAAGCAGGAATATTGCATTCAAAGCACCCTTGACAGATGGCCATCAAGCCTCTGTTTAAAAGCTTCCAAAGAAAGAGCCTCCACCACACTCTGGGGCAGAGAGTTCCATTGCTGAACGGCTCTCACAGTCAGGAAGTTCTTCCTTGTGTTCAGATGGAATCTCCTTTCTTGTCGTTTGAAGCCATTGTTCCATTGCGTCCTAGTCTCCAGGGAAGCAGAAAGGAAGCTTGCTCCCTCCTCCTCCCTGTGACTTCCCCTCACATATTTATACATGGCTATCATATCTCCTCTCAGCCTTCTCTTCTTCAGGCTAAACATGCCCAGCTCCTTAAGCCGCTCCTCATAGGGCTTGTTCTCCAGACCCTTGATCATTTTAGTCACTCTCTTTCTCTGGACACATTCCAGCTTGTCAATATCTCTCTTCAATTGTGGTGCCCAGAACTGGACACAAGGTGATTCCAGGTGTGGTCTAACCAAAGCGGAATAGAGCATGGGGAGCAGGACTTCCCTAGATCTAGACACTAGGCTCCTCTTTATGCAAGCCATTGACCCCATTGCTATTCCCTTGTCATCTTCCCAATGAGATCAAGTTATCAAAGGTCTCCTGAATTAAAAAAAAAACCCCAAACTTCTCAATCCATTATCTAACGGAGGAGAAAGTTGGCGCATGACCTTGAGCCCAAACAGAACTGTCAAGGCCTTACTTTTCCATTGGCTCCAGGTAGCATCACCTGCCTGTCTTCCCCGTTGTCTTTTTTGACACCGCACTCTCCATCGCTCAGTGCAACACACATCACTTCTGTTTGCACCAAGCTGTTACAACCCAGTAAATCAATGTCGGACATGTGAAGACCGGGGCCGCGCATGGGCCTCTGTATTAACATCGCACTCCTCGGATCGGAGCTGTTAACCGCATTGGGCACCTCCGGGTAGGAGCTTTATGAAAAGGCTAAGTGGAAAGGAAAGGGGAAATATATACACAATTATTTGGACACTCTTTCTGCAAAAGCGGCGGCTGAAACGGTAATTCCAGTTGGCGGTTAATACGCAACGCTCAGGAAACGGATCCGGGTGGCCGAGGTGGAGGAAAGCGGGCGCCCACTCGCCCTCCAAACAGTGCAAAATGGAAATTGTTGTTTTGCTGAGGGAGAAGCGAGCCCAGCCTTGGCTGTGTTATCCACAAAACGAGGGATTGAAAACCAGCCAGTTAATGAGACCAGAGTAAGAAAAAACCAACCAAAAAACAACACACACAAATCGAGAAGAAAAGGAAAGAAGGGGATGGAGAAAACCAAGAAGGACTTCAAAGGTCCCCTTGCATCTGCTCAGCTTCACAGCCAGTGGCCTTTTTGCCGGTCCCTAAAGAGTCTCTTGGGGAAGCTTGAAGGAAGGGAAAGGTGGAGGCAGCACCCGCGGATGCACATCTCTCTGCATTTTTGTGGCTGGCCTCTCTCTCTCTCTCTCTCTTTTTCCTTACCGCAGCCTTCCTTGCCTATGCCTCATTTCCCTGACTATGGAACACAGACCTTTATGTAAATGTGCTTTGACGCTGGGAACATTCTTTCTTCCTTTCTTCCTCCCTTTCTTCTTCTTCTTTTTTACTCCAGCAGTTTATCGAAGACCCAATTATGCACTCCTAGACCGAGCAGAAACTGTGCTGACTATTAAGTACCTTGTTTACAGCTCCATTCTTTCCCTGAAAGCTCTACACATTTTTGCCGCAGAAGTGTGGCTGCGCATTCGCGGCGGGAGGAGAGTTGGCGGAGAACGCCGGCCTGGCGGGGAAGCGCCGAACGCGGGCACGGAACCGGATTTCTGAAGTAGAGAGGGTTCCGGCCCAGGAGGAGGGACAACTGCCCCATGCTCAAATGGGAAGTGAGGGTACGAATTTGGGAAGAGGAAAGCCACCGCTCCCATGACGGTATTGTCCTGGTCCTAACAAAAAATCTTTTGCTGATACTCCAGCTTTGCTATCTCTTGTATGGTGGTGACACTTTGAAATGGCACAGTAGCCAAAGCATTGTCAGTAACAAGTGTCAACATTTGCTGGTTTTGGCGCAACGTCTGTGCAAGTGCAAATTAATGCAATGGCCAAAGAGGCAAGAAAGACCAACGCTTGTCCCAAAGGGGGACTAAAACCAATGCTGGAGCCAAAGAGGCAAACAAGACCAACTCTTGGCCAAAGGGACTACTAAAACCATCTCTGAGGCCAAAGAGGCAAGCAAAACCAAAACTGTGGCTGAAAAGGTAAGCAAAACTGATGCTTGGTCAAAGAGGCAAGCAAAATCAAACCTTGGTCAAAGACGTAAGCAAACCCAACGCTTGGTCAAAGAGGCAAGCAAGACCAGCACCTGGCCAAAGAGGCAAGTGAACCCAACGCTTGGCCAAAGAGGCAAGCAAACCCAATGCTTGGTCAAAGAGGCAAGCAAGACCAAAGATGCAAGCAAACCCAATGCTTGGTCAAAGAGACAAGCAAGACCAACACCTGGCCAAAGATGCAAGTGAACCCAACGCTTGGCCAAAGAGGCAAGCAAACCCAACGCTTGGTCAATGAGGCAAGCAAGACCAACACTTGGCCAAAGACGCAAGCAAACCCAATGCTTGGTCAAAGAGGCAAGCAAGACCAACACTTGGTCAATGAGGCAAGCAAGACCAATACTTGGCCAAAGACGCAAGCAAACCCAACGCTTGGTCAATGAGGCAAGCAAGACCAACACCTGGCCAAAGATGCAAGTGAATCCAATACTTGGTCAAACAGGCAAGCAAGACCAACACTTGGTCAGAGGCAAGCAAACCCAACGCTTGGCCAAAGAGACAAGTAAACCCAACGT